AAAACTAGATCGCCTTTCTTGAAAATCCGTTCCTTAACCTTTTTGTTGTAGGCTTTAGAAATACGGGCTAGATATAGCTCAATCTGTTGCTGAGCTTGAAGTCGTTTGTCATCTAAGGCTTCAAGTTCTTGTAGACGTCGTTGATGCTTTTCTTCTTCTGTTAATCCCGTTGTAACCGCGACTCTCAGAGAAGGGATCTGAATTTCTAATGGCAATACAGCCTCGCAGCCATATACCAAAGAGAATGGTGTAGCTCTTGTAGGGGTCCTCACCGTTGTGCGGTAAGCCCACAGGCATTCACCGAGTCTTTCATCCCAATCGCGCCGACTCTTGGAAACAAACTTCTTGAGAAGCTTCACTATGATTTTGTTGAAAGCTTCTGCAAGACCATTTGCTGGCGGGTAATACGTCGTAGTAGATGCAACACTTTGGATTCTGAATTTATCACAAAACCTCTGAAACCCAAAGCTGACGAATTGTGTCCCGTTGTCGTGAACTATTCATCTCGGGACTCCGAAACGGTAAACGACGTGATGTTTAATGAACTTGATCACGTTTGAAGTCTTGACTTCTTTCAACGGGATTGCCTCCGCCCACTTGGAGAAATAGTCGGTCACGGCTAGAATGAACCGGTGTCCTTTGGACGTCGAAGGGGAAATCGGTCCGACAATATCCATGCCCCACATTTCGAATGGCCAAGTCGCTGATGTAGGGTGTAAGTTTCCCGGCGCCTGATGGATGAAGTCCCCATGAATTTGGCATGCGTGACAACGTTTAGCGTAGTCAACCGCGTCTGAAAACATTTTCGGCCAATAATAGCCGATTCGTCGGAGGCGATCTCCTAATTTAGCTCCAGGTTGATGAGCTCCGCACATTCCGCCGTGAGCTTCCTTGAGGGCCTCTTTCGCTTCCTTCCGAGAAAGGCATCGAAGTAAGACTCCATCATGTGATTTACGATACAAGACTTGAGAGACTGCATCGTAATAGAATCGGAGGGCTTTTCGTTTGATTGCAGCCGCTTCCTTAGGGTCCTCAGGTAGAATTCCATATAAGGCATAGTCGATGTATGGGAATCGCCAATCCCTGGATTCGAACTCCATAAATGCCGTACAGACTTCTCCCGACATCGTCTCGTCTGAATTTTCCTCTGTAGGAATCTTGGAAAAGTATAGCTTACGTCCCATGACCGGAATCGTTGTTTCGACCTCTGGTGGCAAGGCCAGGGAAGTTGCCAAAGAGGCTAAAGCATCGGCATATGCATTCTGAGCTCTTGGAACGTATTCGATAAAGAAACCTTCGAACTTTTGAGCTTGCTCTAGCACTGCGAAGTAATACGGGATTAGATCCTCATGACGTACTTCATATTCTCCTCGGACTTGATTAACGATGAGCTGTGTTGGTGCAAGGTTCGATTAAGGAGAATCCCCTTGGGATTACGTGGCCGTTCGGAGAGATTAACACTACTCCTACTCCCGCGGTGATTGCTCCATGAGGATTTGCTCTGGATGCACCGTCGAAGAATAACTTCCACACTTACGTAGCTTCTTGGGTAGCGCAAGCTTCAGCGACCTCGTCGGGTAATTCCTCATACAACTTAGACGTTCCCGATACTGGATGATCGGCTAAGAAGTCTGCCAGTGCTTGACCCTTGACCGCCTTTTGAGGCATGAACTGCATGTCGTATTGCGACAAGAGAATGGCCCATTTTGCAAGCCGGCAATTTAGAGATGATGGTTTTGTCATCAGAACTCTTAAAGGATTTACCTTCGAGATGACCTGAATGGTCTGTCCAACTAGGTAATGTCGCATCTTTTGGATTGCGAATACCAAGGCGAGACATTCTTTTTCGACCGGATTGTACCGGTGTTCAGCTCCCATCATAGTCCTGCTCAGGTAATAGATGGCTTGCTCTTGACCTTGATCATTGTTCTGAGCTAACAAAGCACCAAGAGAATGATCCATGGCCCTCACATACAACAGGAATGGTTTTCCTGATATTGGGGCCACGAGAACTGGCGGTTGAGTGAGATATTTTTTAATCTCCTCGAATGCTCTTTGACACTCAGCATCCCAAACAAAGGATATTCCTTTCTTCATGAGCTTAGAGAAAGGTTGGCAGCGCCCTGAAAGATTTGATATGAATCTTCGAATGTAGGCCAGTCTGCCTTGCAAACCTCTGAGCTCTTTGAGATTCTTCGGAGGTGGCATGTCTTGGATGGCACGCACTTTTTCTGGGTCAAGAGAGATTCCCTTGGAAGTAACGATAAATCCCAGGAATTTTCCACTTGAAACTCCGAGGAACGATTTTGTCGGGTTCATCTTCAGCTGATGTGCTCGCATGATTTCGAACATTGTCTTCAGATCTGCAAGATGATCGTCTTTACATTGGCTCTTTACTGCTATGTCATCAACGTAGCACTCGATCTTCTTTCGTAGGTGTTCGTGAAAGATTGTGTTCATTGCACGTTGATAAGTTGCACCTGCATTTTTCAGGCCGAAGGGCATCACTGTGTAGCAATACACCCCCAGTGGTGTTCTAAAAGCAGTATGTTTTTCATCGTCCGGGTGCATCTTTATCTGATTGTACCCAGAGAATCCGTCCATGAAAGACATCCTTTCATATCCGCAGGTGTTGTCAATCATAACATCCGTGATGGGGAGTGGGAATTCATCTTTCGGACAGGCGGCATTGAGATCGCGGAAATCGATACATATCCGGACTTTACCGTTCTTCTTAGGAACTGGGACGATGTTGGCCACCCAGTCAGGGTGTTGTTCTTCCCTAACAAAACCTGAGTCTATAAGCTTTTTAACTTCTGACTCAATTGATTCCATGATCTCTGGACGAAACCTGCGTTGTTGTTGTTTAACGGGTTTTACATCCGGATCGATGTTGAGACGGTGCATGGCCACCTTCGGGTCAAGACCAGGCATATCTTCATAATTCCAAGCGAAGACATCTATATATTCTCGGATGAGAGATATAAGGTCTTCCTTCTCGGATGATGATAGGTCTTCAGCTATAAAGATAGGCTTGGGGTCAGACTCATTTCCCATGTTGACCTGGATCACCTTATCTTCAGTGGGTGGTTCGCGTTGTTCGAAACGCATATCCCACAGGATGTTAAGACGTTTGATCCAAGGATCGTTAGTCGACTCAATTAACTCTTCGTCACCCCCTGCATCTTCATCAGGGTGACTAGTTGAAACCATGTTCACAGTCAAACCTTTAAAGAAAGGTCCGACACTGACGTCGGATTCCCAGGAAGAGGTTCCGGACGAATGATCTTGACGCAGATAATTACTGATCTCATTTTCTGAGGCAGAGGGAGTTGTGACATAACCTAAACCTCTTCCGGTTTTATTGTAATAATCCTGAGGTTTTCCTTCAGGGGCTAGAGACATTCGGACTGGGGTTCGTCTGCCCTTCCCGAAGTTCAGACCCTGTTTTTCATTAAAGTTATACCCCATTCGTTTCATTAAGTCTATAGAATTGGGTTCATGGTAATGAAATTGGGGAACTCCGTCGTCTTCCTCTGAACTTCCTCGTTTGAGTTGTTCGGGTTTGACTTTACCAAAACAGATCGGCTTCTGCCCTTTCCTTTTGGATGGGACTTTGAAGAAAGCCTTCTGTACATCTTCTGCTTCTTCATCTGAAGCAAAGAAAGATTCGATTGGCAATGTAAGTGATGCCTCTGTGCACATTGTGTGCCATGGGTTGGTACCTGCATTAGAATCATTCTCTACTGATTTATTTTTAGAGGACACATCAGGCAAGTACTCCAAAAGAAAATCTTCATTAATGCACCATTCACCCTCGCTCGGTACATTATTACTACTCTCATCCTGACCCATTACATCTAAGTTCAGTTCCCATGGACAATCTTCCTCAGGATCTGGTTCGACATCTGCTTCATTGCCACTGTCAACATCTTGAGATTCTAAGTAGAAAA